GGCTCACCCGAGGAATGCCCCCTGACTGCTGCCTCAGTCACTGGCACTAACAGAGAGCAAGACATGGAGGGAGAACGTGAAAAAGGATATGTTATCGAGTCTAAAGAAATGGAGGTGTCACCCATAGCCACTTTTGGAGCATCACGCATTAAAATGACCCAAGAGGCACAAGAGGTATTTAGGTTGTGTTGCATTTGTAACATCACACCACTGGAGATGTCACATGAGTTGAAACCTTCTAATGAGTGATATCAGCAGCGCCCCTAGGCTCTGGGCTGAGAGGTTGTTTTCCTTGAATCTGAATCACCTGAGTCTTAATGCTGCGTACAGCAGGGGTCAGACAAGATACAAACAGGTGTGTTAGATCTGTGAGTGAGTGTGTGTGTGTGCTGGAGGGGATACAGGCCTGTGCGTGTATTGTACAGTATGTGATGTGTATGAGTGTGTGTGTGTACACTTGTAATCACCCAGACTCATCCAAATCAAAAGAGACAGAGAGGGAGACGTTGTCCTGTCAAAATCCTAACTTTAATCCTTACTGGTGAGCCTGTAACATTCAAAGTATCAATCATCATCATCATAAACTGTAAAACAGTACTTACTGCCAGTCTAAAGGCAAACACACACACACACACCCATACAGAGTTGAGAGATAATACCAGTTTATTTGAAGTAAACTCTGCTGATGACACAGAACTGGGCTGGGCATGCTTAAACCTCAGCACGCTCAGCAGTAGCTCTGTGCCACTTTGTCTCCACTAATCCCCTGTGATCAACCCATATCTGGAGAACGGGACGAGGCTTTTGGCGGCCTCCTTCATACAGACAGTCTGTAAGTAGGTAAGTACAGAACAGGACGAGGACAGTGGGGAAGTCCCATGAGCTCACTGTCTAGCCTGATAGTGAGCAGCTACACCTACCTGCTCTGACTGCTCACACCAGGGAGTAGCTCTCAGAGCTCGTTGGAGGTTCAGTTCTTGTATGTCATAAAACAGCAGATATTAAAAAACCTACAAGAGTTTGCTCTCTGACCAGTGAAACGTCAACCTTCAGATCTCATTCAGTCCATATCAGGTACTCTAAAGTCAGCATGAGTGATGATTATGCCTTAGGGTCATTGTAACACTTTGATGAGTAAAACCTTCCAGCAAATCGCCCACATTCAGTTCTTACAATCTAATAGTCTGACCTGAATCATTTCCTCTGAAAGGAACCAGATAAAGCAATTTAGTTTGGAAAGATAAAAACTGCAGTTCAGGGCCAAGCCGAGCTCTCGTACTCATGCTGGGTCAGGTCTAGTCTGACCTAATAAGCAGCACAGAAAAAAAATTTTAAGAGTACTCATTCCTTCCCCAGAATAGACAAATAATGGTCTGTAGAGAAAAAGTTAAAATCTGGGTCCCTTACAAAAGCAGATATAGGAGATGTTTCACGGGTCAACAGAAGAACCACATGTCTTTATTGCACAGTTGCAGTCCCAAAATCTTTCAACAGTTTGAATGACCAAGCTTCAAAAAGCCTTGGAAATATGAGACAAATAAAATGGAAAGTGAATTAAAGTCATTGATTTGGGTTCTATTTTTGCTCAGCACTTTTGGCAGTAAAGGAGCCATTGATGCAACTTATTTTCCTTTGGGTGAATTCAAAAGAAAGCTGACTTATTCTTTCCCAGCATTTGTGTGGAAGATATAGAAATTATTTTATTGTTGATTGTTATGAATTAGCAGACAAATAATGCATCATGCACTACTTTCCACTAAATTTGGATCCATGTGAGCTGTAATGTGCAGTACAAGTAGAAATGTTTGAAATCATCACTTTTTTCTGTGTAAAGAGCTTAGTCCGTTTACAGTATATTCATCAGCACATAACGTGAAAAATATGTGTCTGTTTGCACATCATTAAATCCTGCTCATGATGTGAGCCCTCAGCCACAGTGGAGAGGTCTGGTTGCAGCATTAGTGGCTGTACTGGAACACACATATAAATCTGGACTGCCCTCTAGTGGTACAGCTGGTTCAACGGAGCAGCGTTTTCATTGTCTGACTCAATGGGCACCACTTCATGCAAAGCTATGATCTGCCAACAGCAGCCACCACCCTGACCCCAACACACAGAGAATGTCTGTACTGTATGTGAATGACACAACGTAAATGGGACATTCTGAGCAGTTAATGACAAAACTGTGAAACTTTAAAAAAAAGTAAGCAAATGTACACTTGTACCACACAACTTCCTAAGTTCTGAGGAGTATATATTAAAGTAGAGACCGATGGAATGTTAACAATTGGCAGGTTTATTACACTTCAACAATGAAAAAATATATCCCCACATTTACAAAATCTGACCCCCAAACAAAATAAGATGTCTTTGGTGTCTTTTTGTCAATCGTTCCTCTACTTTGGCAGGAGAAGTGATTGTGTAATAGTTCCTTATCTGGAAACTGGCTTGGAAATCCACCAGGCTGATTCAGTCAAGTGAGATCCTTAGCTTCACAGTGGGACTGGTTCACCCTTCAGCAAAGCTGACTGCAAACCATCCAAAGGAAAAAAATCCAACAATCTGCACATTTAGCCATTTCATTTTTTTAGCTAAACAGTATTCAAGTGATGAAGTAGCATCTCTTAATAACATACATTTTAACTTTGTTAACATAACCAAACCACAAATTATCATCATGAAGAAATTAATTTAGAACACTGGTTTTAACATGCACTTTCATGGATGGAACAATGAAAACAAACATTTACATTCTAACACAGTATCCTAAAACGTTCAATACTACAAAATATACACCGACTGGTTTTACTGTGTGCTATGGTTTGAACCCCATCTCTTAACCCATACTTGTTCACACTGTGCATGCAAAATACAATGTGCAGCAAATTTTCACGTAAAAAATTGAATTAATAAAGCTGTATTAAATCATCCCTATTGAAAGTATCACAATCACATTGAACTAAATAATCTAATTTTACTCAGGCCCAAACCTAGCTATATTTCACTGGCCTAATAAACAGTAATTTCCTGATAAGTCTATTTCCCATTGAGATAATGTATTTTACCTACAGTTAAATATATCAAAATTACATTGTTCAAATACATATTTATTTTGTCTGCATTTGACTTACACAGTATTGTGCTGATCCCATAGTTGTTTGTTCAGTGTGATTCTTTCACTTTGCTGCATGCTGATCCTGGAAGCATGCAGCAAGGTTAACTTCTACTGCCCTGTTCCTGTCACCTGTCCGTCTGCCACTTGCCCACCTTGGCCCCGGGAAGGCTATAATAACTTTTTGTAGTGATAAGAGGTTCACAGTGTATTTGTTGTTTGGAAACCTAATAATATGCTCTAAAACAATCTGTATTTTTGTCAAACTGTGAATTATGGGCAAGCACAATTCTACTCTATGCCCAAACCTATGTTTTCATATTGTTCTAACCGATTTCAGAAGGGGTTTAGTAATTTAAAAGCCCCCAGCAAATTGAGGCCTCCTATGTGCTTTGACAAACATGGATGCAGGCGTTTTCCTTGGTTTTTACGCCCGTTCCTGTATGAACTGCTCAGTAGACCAGCTGGCTGCAGCACCGAAACACCAGGTGCTAAAAATGAGAAAAGAATGATAATTATTATCAGAGTAAACACAAATTATATGAAAATATTATATGTCATTTCTCTGATTGTCTGTATTCTAATTTTAGTACAGTCATTTTTTTCCACCATGGCTATAATTTACCAGTTTTTGTTTGTTTGATTGTGTTTTCAGCTGGCATGACAACAAGTGCTAATTGGACCAGCATGTTGCTACTTCTTCCCTCTTCTTTTCTCTCTTTCTGATGTCTTCTGTTGACCTTCCTGTTTCAAATTTACTAACTGTTACAGAATGCCTTCTCTCTCGTCACTCTTGTTTAAGTTCATTTATTGTGATTTGATTGTCTTTTCATGTTAACCCATGTTAGTAGCACAGTTCATTGTGAAAACACTGAGC